TTGACATGAGGTTGGAAACTTTTATGCTTCTAAATGCCATGACTACTTTAGCCATGCATAGATAATTTTGTTATTCATGAAGGCTCATGAAATTGCTCATTATGAGGCTTGCTAACATGAACAAGGTTCCACTCCCAAAGTGTACCGTGGCCAGGAACTATTAAGTGCTCTTTAAAAGCATATTAACTTGAGAATATGAATTTCGAGAACTGTGAATGTGATTGCATCTATATGTTCGATGACCAAATGGCTTCCAAATGGGACCCAATCAGTCTCAAGTGAAAAGCACGTATGTCTACTTCAAGTTTTCTTTTTATGGCGTGATGAGATCTCGTACGTATTAGGAGATATAGCTTAAGATCCAGAGACATGTACGCACAGTCGTTGTAACTTCCAGCGACTGTGACCCTTGTTGGGCAACACTTTTGGCCAAGTAAACGGTGTCGAAAAACCTTGAAATTACTGTCATTGGAAAGGTCTGTGAATTTACTCAAAATTGTATGTTTTGAAGCTTTTGAAATCCCCCACGGATTTTGAATTATGACCCAAAATGCGTGAGTATGTCGCTGCACACTGTTGTAGGGGAGATTTCCAGAAACTAATGCTCACTTTGTACTGAGCTATTGACCCATCAAATGGCATCCAAATTCCTTCAAATCACCGTTTTTGTAAAGAACTGTGCATTAGCTCAAAGTTTCATGTTTGGGACGTTTTGAAACTCCCCCTAAGTCCGGATCCACGCCCTCGCTAAGAGGGGCATGTCAGTGTTACTTGTCACTGCATCCTTGTATGACCATGTGACGCTAGGTTATCTTGCTATATGATAAACGTAAATGCCATATGATAAATTCCATAAGAATACCATAAAGATATGTAACTGATGCCGTGTAAACTGCACTTTGTGAGAAAGAGGGGCCACAAGTGCGATAGTGATGAAATGAATTCATAATGAATGCCAAAGGCTACTGAGAGGGCTTATGTGTAAATGCCCTGTGAAAGCTTATGAAATGCATGTATTTTGCTTAATGCTATGATTTTATGATGAAATATGATTCATCTATATGAAGCATTGATTTATGAAAATGTGATTCATCTATTATGAGGCAGTGAATTGGCTACTACGTGGTGGGACACGCACTGGTAGTAGATATTGTTATGACACTGTAATGAATTGGCCACTACGAGTTGGGACACTCACCAGTAGTGAATATTGTTATGACACTGTAACGAATTGGCCACTACACGGTGGGACACTTACCGGTAGTGGATATTATTATGATACTGTGATTAATGGCCAATGCTTATGTTGATATTGACCATTACACGGTGGGACACTTACTGGTGGTGGATACTGCTATGATATTGCTTGCTATGCCATGGGACACTCATCGATAGTAAGGAAAGGGATGTTGGCATATCCCCTAACCTGTGCAATGATAGGAAAGGGTTAAGGGAGAGGATAGAGTCACACCATAGATTTATGAAATGAAATAATTGATGCCTTGCAAGGTAATGACCTAGCGAACCCCCAATGCGTGTTGAGGATTGTGTGCGTGTGTTGAGGGTATTACGAACTGGATTAACCCACTTTTCATTACCCTCCCTTCTGTACGATGGTAGAGGTCTTAAGCAATGGGATTAGCTTAGCCTGATGAATAGGGCCTCTACTGCGGGAGTAGGTGATTTAGGGAGTGAGTGGATAAGAGTTGATTTTCTGTATAAGGAATGTTTAATAGTACAATGATTGGATGATTAATGATTTCACTGATCGAATGCTTATGATTACACCGATTCAAAGGTAACTGTCGTTTAAATGAAATGTTCATATTCATTGCCTTGACCTAATATGCATTTATGCTAAACTATGACTTTATATTGATGAACTGTATTGTTTTCATACATTGATAGAACCACCACAGATGCATGACACTAGACCTGCTTATTGGGTTGTATAGTATGCTATTATTTCTCATATCCTTGTAGATTGATAGTGACTGGTGCAGGGCTCAAAGTTCGTGTTTGGCAGCTAGAAGACAAAGCTAGTGTTCTTGAAGAACGGGCTTAGACCTTGTTTATGTCTGGGCTATTTTGTCCTGGTTTTGTTTTATTCTTGGTGGATATGTGTAATATTGGGCCTAGATGCCCTGAATTGAATGTAATATTTTGGAAGATTTTATATTATGAATTTTGGTGTGTAGAGTTTTTCCTTTCTCTTCTGCTAGTTAAGCTTGTCGCTTTAGCTCTCTTCCATGGTTTGCTCGATTTCCAAATATAAAGGCGTTGAGTCCACTCTTACCTAAGTGATAAACATTACATTGAATCACAAACCCACGCTCGATCTCCCGTCACTGCATAAGGTACGGTGGTCGGGGGCGGGATCGTGACACTGTTCTCCCATATATCATATGGATAGGCGTGCATAGAGCCTTAGGAGTATATGTATCCTAGAACTTGTTTCAAGATGAGATGGCTTCATTATTTTAAATCAACCTTGAATATGTTTAGCTGATGGGATTTTGGCATTATATCTTTATCAGTCATGAGTTGGGAATTCTTCAGGCATTTCAGGCCTTCTTATAGAATTGATCTTGATCATATCGTATCTTTCATGTCACATAGGGTATTTCATTTTCACCCAGCTTCATATGAGGCTTAATTGACATATCGTTATTGAGTATGCATCAAAATGAATTCAATCTTTGTATGTGACTAAAAACACACCCAACATTTACATGAGTCATTATTTCCCATGTAAATAATACCTTCATCACAAGGTTGGTATTCATAGAATCAATCCCTATATGAGTCATGTGAAAGGATGCACCTGAATCAAATTGCCAATATTGCCAAACTTTTTTTCCATCCACTGCCAAAACTTCTCCATCTTTAAATAACTCAATTCCTTCAACTAAATTTCTTTGAGACTCACTTGAACTAGGTTTGTTATTAGGACTAGATTTAGGGGCTTCCTGGTTTCTTTTTCGTCCCTTATAATATTTCTTTATATGGCCTAAATTTCTACTTCCCAACACTTCACTTTCTTATGCCATCTGGATTTGGATCTTGATTGACCTCTTCATATAGTCTCTCCATCGACCTACCCAGTGTTACAAACACATTCCAAAAGATTCCTTATCGGACTTTTGTCGAAACTTTTCTGTAAAAAATGCTGAAACAACATAATCAAATTCAAGAGATTTTACACTACTGATTTTCACAATCCATCCCATGATTCTTGCATAGAATAAAGTAATATGGTCGCATTATCTTCTTTATCAATTTTCATATCTAGTACTATCAACTTGCTAATCAAAGCATTAAACTCATTGAAATGCTCTTACAAAAAAATCACGCATCTCGAGATTATAACAGTTGTCAACGAATAAAAAATTTATTAGGAAGAGACTTACATTCTTAAGTATATTTAGCCTATCCCATAAAACTTTTGATGCATTTTCTGAGGAAACATTGAATGAAATGAATTCATTTGAAGCCAAAAGAGTTTCTGCATTGGTCAAACTCATGTTTTTCATCAAATTCCTCATCATTTATCTTTGTAAGTTTTTTTCTCAATCATTCAGACCCACTACACAACATCTCCCACTAACATTGCATGCATCTTTAACTTTCAATTTGAGAAATTCAATCAGTCAAATCTTGGGATTTTATATTTGGTCAAACTTAATCTTCAAATATCTATGATTTTCCACAAACCTAATGCCTAGGAAGGAGTTTAAAACCTAAGGCTCTTATGTCAATTTTAAAGGATAATTGATTCTCAAAAATTATGGAAACTTGGCCTCAATCTTTTAGCAGTGAGTATCTAATATAGCTATGAGTGTAAAAAATAATGTATATGTTAGTCTCTAATATGGATGTGCGTAAAAAATTTAGATGTCAAACTTCCTTTAGGTATAACATAAATTTTAAAAAGTCTATAGAGATATTGATATTGAGTCAACATGCCAAAAACAAACAGATGCATAAGAAACCACAGACATGCATGATGACATTGCATGAGTTCTAGAGAATGGGTGTCCATGGGTTGGGTCAGGGTTGAACCCGATTGGGTTAGCACCTAGTAAGACCTGGGCCAGGGTCAAGTCCAGGTCTATCTACATAAAAGAATATAAAATTATTAAAAAAACATATATATTACCTATAATATAATCTGGTCTGTTGATCGACTCGAAACATTTGATTTGGTTTGGAAAGGACCGCCCCAAATCCAACCCTAGTCACGTCGAAGTCAATTGGATTCGTACCAACTAGTTGAGCCCACTAACTGAGTCTAGACCTAGACCTGGGATGAGTCGCCCTACCCCGTGCATTAGGTCCAGTCGGGTCGGCGGGATCGGCTTGCGACGCCTTAGATTTCTAGAGGCAATCCGAGCAAAGTTGGGGACGAAAGGGAAAAGAGAGGGAGAGAAAAGCCGAGAGAGAGAGAGAGAGAGAGAGAGAGAGAGAGAGAGAGAGGAGGGAGGGA